ATAATTTATTATAAGACAAAAAAATATAAAGTATAACAATTGTTTACTAACAATAGGCATGAACCCCCCACAGAGGAGAAGTTTTCTTTTTTATTCTCAGTAGATGATCCACCAGATGAATGCAGCGATATTGTCCGATATGTCTATATCTTGAAAACCCTCTAAAAACATTTAGGGTAATCTCTCACCGAGTTTAATTGTATATATTTTTTATAGAGCCAGGAGGAGGCGTGTGGTACGTTGTTGGAAAAACCCGATGCCCAATTATTTAATATTTTTAGAGCTTTCCCTTTGTCTTAGATGAACAGAGGATGTGGGTAAACAATGGTGTCGATTAAATGATATAATATGACACGGGCATGTTGATGATGCTTATTGCTCACTTAAGAGTTAATTTATTCTAGATTAATAACAAACAGAGTAGTCCAGGCATTTTCTGTTATGCAAATTTTAAAGGATACTAATAAAATTGAAAAAAACCGACCGAATTCGGAAGTTGTTGTTGAAACTGTACTTCCGTAGTGACATTGAAAAGTTCTCCATTTTCAAAGTATTGCTGGAGATGATCGGGAAAAAAAATTTAGAAAGACGCTCAACTTGCAAATTGAATAAAATTTACTTACAGCTTGACCGAGATGACATCATCTCTTTGGTGATTATAAATTCTTTATGGGCAAGCTTTGTAAAATGTGGATTTTGCATATAACTGAAGAGAGATGAAATTGTTAACTAGCTTAAGTGTTTTTCAGCACCCCAGGAGGTATTCTGTATTTCCTTTTGCCAATGAAAAATTAAAGAGTAAAATTACACAAAAATGAAAGTACTCATGCTTTGTATTTTAGTTAGTTTTTAACAATATAGTTTTTTAAATATTTTTTATGACAATAAATGTTAGAAACTGTTTTTTAATAAATTGATCTATTTTTGATCAACTAGTCCAATAAATAATGATAATAAGTGATATTATTCGCCTCTGCTGTTTAAGCATTTGTCCCAGATATATTCATCCACATTTTTTTTTGCCCTAGTGTGATTGTGATGTTTCAGCCTTGTGTGTTATGATTTTAATATTGTTGTAGTTCATATTGAGTGATCCCTACAAATATTTTTATACCTTTTTCTTCCCAGATTAGTCTTTTAAAGCATCGTCTAGAGTCTAGAGTCTACGGTCTAGATCTTGATTAAAAGGTTATGTGTAAGTACTGCCGAGAGATATTGAACGAACTGGATAAAAATGTGGGTCTCAATACTACTAAAATCACAACACACAAGGCTGAAACACTAAGACAAGAAAAAATGGGACAAGTCGATGAATATAGCTGGCATAAATACTTAAGTCACACTGAACTTTTCCTAAAATCCGATAATCTGAAACTGCGTGGATCAAAATAGATGAATAAGGCGACATAGAAAAGTGGAGACTGGGAGAGGGTTATCTCCAAAGATGGGCTAAATAGCAACTAAAAAACTAAATCCGATAAAAACATTTTCATCAACATTCGGACATACTTCACATTCTAATGCCTTCGAATGATAGGTTCTTGTTGAACCACGGATTTTATAAGATAAGGTTTTCGGTAATTTATTCAAATAAGTCTGATTCTGAGATAATCGCATAAAGCTGCAGAAGATCACTAATTTTGGTTTTGATTGACACCCAAATTCAGTTGATCATTGACCCAACAAAAGTTTACTCCGGGTGGTACAAATTATAACTTGCACAGAAAACTCAATTAACAACAAACTATTTTATCTTGGAAATTTTCTGAAATGTTTTCCTGATTCTGCTTTTAATAGTATATTATGCAACAAGTGCGGTAAACGGCATTTGACTCACGAGTTTATTTAACACGAGCGGAGCGCAGCGGAGCGAGTCTTTAATAAACGAGTGAGTTAAAAAGTTTACCGAACGTGTTGCATACTATACTTTTTCTACGACCGTTAGTTTTTGGGTACATTTTCGCGAAACAACACGAATACATTCACTGGCATGACCGTCAGAATTGACAAACGTCAAAATTCAAAGCGTGGGAAATACCTCCGAAAACATCCGATTACTTCCAGATCCGTGCGGTAAAATCCCGGAAATGTCCGAAGTGGCTCGGATTCATGGGAAACGAAACTGACGCGGTGACACTTCCCGCACTCTAGATCGGTGGGTAATTAGGTATTTTACAGACGGGAGTAGAAAAACTGGTTAGATATCATTACCAATTACAAGCAAATTTATAGTAACTATGAACTTGTTTTTGTTTAACCAGAAGTGAGATAGCACTCTTACATTACTTAATTTAAATGATGGAAAAGTGATACGCCAATGGTTTGTCGCAGTTTTGGTAATAATTTTAGATACCCAAATCAAAGTTACACAAAACTCATCTTTTGAATATTTTTGCTAAAACGAACCCATTTTATATTTATATTCGTCTTTAATGTTATTATCTTGGAATTGTTGATTAATTAATTATAAAATTTTAATTTATAACCTAGTTATACTAAATATAATGCTGAAGTAAGAAATTACGAAGAGGACAAAAAAAACATTTTCATGTATATTCTTCAAAATCGCAAAAGGGAAGCACAATATCCGGTCGAAATCCACAATTAATTGGAACTCAAGAAGTGACACGCTTGAATCTGATCTTATTCCCATTTGTGGAAAATATTACCATTTAAAAGTCAATTAGAATAAGTATGTCTTTTATGTGGTATTTCGTCTTTCAGATTTTTTTCGGTCATTTGGTTGTTAATTTATTTGTGCGAAAGGAAATGACCAAATCCGTTTCTAGACTTCAAAGTATAGCAATTATTAATTCGTAATTGGAACTCGTATATTCCTTCGTTTTTATCCATAAATGGAAAAAGTTTTAATTAGCTTCGTCAGTCGGTTAACGTGAAGAGAAGCAATGAAACAAACCGCATAATCATAAAATTTAAAGTTTTTCGATACTTTACTAGAAATTGGATAAGCGTCTCTCAGAAACGTTTTTGACAGAAATTCAAAAAAAAATCTGCTTTGCTTATGATCGTAAATTTGTTATTGAATTTTGGCCTGGTATGGTGTAAACGACTATGGTCCTAAATTAAAAACAACGTGATTTGTTGTTGGATTGCATGTATTGAATTATGTTTTTGACTTTAAATGGTTTTTACCTTGATACTATATCTCAAGTGAATTATTTTAATACTAAAAATAAGCTGTTACCGGTAGGTCTCATTTATACGAACCCATTCAAGGACAAGCTGGAAGGTTTAAAATTTGGGACCCTATTTTTAGAGCTGGTAGATTGTATTAATATTAACCTCAGTCGCGATTTCTGTAATATGTCTGGCATTAAACACAATTTTCTAACAAAAAGGAAATTCAGTACATTTGCCAGACTAATATTTTTTTTTTCAAAATGATATCAAATATCAAAAAAATATTAGGTTTACTTATAGTATAGGCTATAACTTAATTGCATTTCGATAAATCCTATATACAGAGTGTCCAAATAATCTGCCATACATGTAATACATCTCATTTAATATTTGTTTTAGAAAAAATGTTAAATACAAAAGTTTACAGATATCACTAAAAGACAAAATTGAAAATAATAAAAAAATTGGATCATTCATAGATATGTGAAAAATTAATGGATTCCCCCTTTTGTACTCAATCGCCCAATGTATGCCGAGTGTTTTTGAATTTATGTTCATTCTTTCGTCAAAAATGCACTGTGTTCAATACGCTAGATTTTTGAAGCCGTTTCCGTCAGCTGTTTTACAAAATGAATAATATTAAGTTCCATGATAAAATCAAATGGAACATTATGTATGTTATACTTCCATTAATTATTCCTATTAATACTCTTTCAATTTTATTATGCATTCCCTATACCTAATCTTAGTATTTTTGGAGATATACACATTTTTACGAAACAAAACTCCGAAAATTTGTCAAATTATGAGAAAATACAGCAATAAGTCAAGAAAAGTTAAAATAAACAGGTCACTTTTTAATTTTTCATTATTGATATTATTAAACTATAAAATAATGTTTTCAGATCGCGGTTTTCAGTGCAAATGTAAGTTGATCATGCAAATCTACGTTATTATTATTATTATTAAAATTCCTTTTAAATCGTTTTTCACAATTTTATTATTGTTTCTTTTAGTTTTAATAAAGTGTTTCCGCCTTACATTTTGTATTAACATACAACGAGGGCTATTGACAGAAAGAATTATAGTTAGTTCGTCTCTATAGACTTTTCACGATCAGGTAATAATTATTTTGATTAATTTTGATTATTAATGATATTTTGGCGCGATTTTAAAATTTACAGTATTTTGTTCCTAAAAATATGTATACTCAAATAGTACTAAATTTCGGTGTAGGGAACGTTCAATAAAATTGAAAGAGCATTAATAAAAGTATTAATTGCAAGTATAATATACAGAGTATTCTATTTTATATTTTCTGAAAAATTAATAATTTTCATTTGGACTCGCCCTGTATAAACAATTCGAACTAATTTAGGATAAATGACTGAACTATTTTATAAAATTGTTGGCATAATAAAATTGCTGCTCTCAGAAACGGCGTCAAAAATCTATCGTATTGATTAAAAAATTTCTATAAATGCGAAAACACTCAGTATGTATAAATTCCATAATATATAGGGTGTTCCATATTATAAGTTTGGTTTCCACATATATTTATGAATATTTGAAATTAATTTTGGATTGCTTCTTTTAGTGTCCTCTCTGACTTTTGTATTTAAGATTTTTCTCTAAACAAATAATATATGCAATAAATTTGACACACCGTTTGAACGGCCTGTACCTAAAAATATTATTACGCCTTTTCTAAAATGTCTACCATCACACTGTATAAACTTAAAAATCTAAAACACGAAAAATTTCTAGTTAACACACCAATATGGTATATCCTTCCCACATTTTCGTAGTTTATGTGCCAGTGCAGTTCATGGTTTTAATTAAGCGAATTAAACACTTACTTGCAACTTCGACCACTGGATCCTCCCTATACACCGAACCGCATTTCTCCAGGCCAATTTCGCCCCGTATATCAGCTCGGTTTCGGTGAGTTGATAAGTGCCCGTTGCCGAGACTTCCTTCTGAACCTGTTCCCATCGCGATAAGTGCGCGGGGCTATGAGACCTGAAACAAACACAGTTTGGATGTAACAACAATATGTCAAAGCGGGCCTCGCCATTGTTCGGTTTTTAGTTGACGCGACGTCGGCATCGTCGATACGAGGGAAACACTGTGGTCCCTCTGTTTTGTCTAACCGGTGACGTGAAATATATTTTTACCCCTCGTCTCACACTCGTACTCGGGACCTTAAGCCCTTCTTAATTTGAATTAGGTAGTGGCTGACGTTCTATATTGGCAAACAAATATTTGGAGTAGTGTGTTAATTGCTTTTTGGGGTTCCAAACAACTCTTGTTAGCTCATTCTCCGAAAGCTATTACAACTAAATTTAAATTTTCCTTTCGACGTATCTGTCAAAGGATCAGGGAATTAGCGATTACGGTTGTGTTTTAAGCATAAGTTTCGATACCCAAACAAATTATTATGCTTTACAAAACAAATAAAAATAGGTTCTGGGTTACTGACTACGCGTTGAAGATGAGATAATTAGCGCAATGGATAAATGCAGATTTTCGTGAAGAGTAATCAAAAATAAACGGATTCAACGTGTTCAGAATGAATGTCTTCTTTTTCTGCCACCCCTAAGTTTGATGGTGTTTTATTGACTGAATATTCCCTTTCCATTTCCGATGTAGAAGGCTGTTCGGTTTACTCTATCTTAATTCAACTCAGGTATCCACACTCGCAACTCTCTAACCTAGAACTAGAGCTAAGCCAACAATTTTTTCTTAAAAAATACTTAATATAAAGGAAAATTTTCTATTTTGATTTGATTGTATAGTTTAAAAACATCTAGAGGGAATATAGGAATTATTAAGGCACAAACCATGCATGTTCACTTGCTATAAGTGAACAAAGGACTGTTTTTTTTATGTAGCTGTTTGGTTATTTAAGGATCCGAAATCTCGTTTATGCTATTTATCTATGAGTGGTCAGAGGTTAGGAATCTCTAATTTTCAAATCTCTAAATTTCCATCAACGAACAGCGGGCGTAGAAGTTAGGTGTCCCAGCTACTGACCAGCTGATACGGCTTAAAAAGAGAAAGGTGGGAATATATGGTGGTTCGTGGAGGCAGCGGATACTTGTGTCTGCTGATCCACTCCATAAGTGTATTTCAAAAAGAGATCTACGCGACATTCATCTATCTCTATTGTTAAGCTCTAGACTCTAGACAATCATCACGAGCAATTTTACAGTGTAAAGCTATAATTACTTCGAAATTCCGCTGTCTCTATATAAAATCAAAGTAGTTTTGGTCAGTTTGAGTCAGGAGCGAATTTAATAAGTGTTTTGACAAACATCGAATTCAGAGTGTTGAACTCTACCTGCCACGTACTTGAGAATGCGGAAAGTCATATATTAAAAAGACAGACACTAACTAAATGAGATATCAGAGCATGTTTGGTGGAAGCAACACAACGTGGAACTCTTAGAGGCCTTGTTGTCCATGGGAAACCTCAGCGCCAATTCAAATAAGTCCTCCTATGCATCGGTCGTTAAGGAGGCAGACGATTCAAACCACCGGAAGTTAGAAGAATTATCCAAACTTCCAACTTCCGTTCTGCAACTTACATTTTTCATAGCTTGAGGTTTTATTATTAACTGCCAGATATGAGTTTTTTTTGAGGTTTTCGAAATTTAATTATTGTTATCACAAGCTAAGGAAAATTAGCCAAATATAATAGCACCTTTTCTGGAAAGTGTGATGAATGTGTGTGAAAACTCGCGATAATATTCCGGCACTGAATATAGGTGGCGTTTTATGTTTGGGGCTGATAAACTGCTGGTTGTGAAGTTTATAGCTTTAACAATATAATTAGACAAGTTTTTTAGCTATAACGAAGTTGTATTCCATGACGTTGTAGAACTTGTCGATAGTTTATAATATATATAATAGTTTATAGAACTGAAATTTTGTCACCATTTTATAAGAGTAACGAAACCATTTTTATTAATAGGTTCTCAGGTTTTGTGGAATAGCTAACCTAAAATTAACCGTAACCCCTATAAAAGAAAAATTGGTAGTTGGGCAGTAACGCACTGCAGGCAGAAATAGAATCGTTTAAAGAAAATTTTCCAACGAAATTCGAATTGCATTTCCAATTGCCACTTAAACGCATCTAGCTCGCTAACACGCCATCGTCGAGACGTCCAGACAAACGTAAAACGTATCTCCTCTCCGCGGAAATTTTTATAGTCTCGAAATTGTTCTCTTTTTTCGGAAATGTTCCAAAGGGAAATAAACTAAACAGTAGAATTTAATTCGGAATTTCCAACTGCCTAACCAAGACGGATAGACGGGTGAATGTGTCTTTCCGGAAACTAAATAACTTTAAAAAGCGAAACGGTGGAGAGACGAATATAGAAAGCGCAAACCTACTGATCCGAGTACATAATTAATTCGCTGTATTTTGACAACTTTATTTAATTTTTAATGAACGCAGCGTTCGGGATAAAACTAACTATGCAAGATTTTATTTAATTCGATGTCAAAGCTAATTATGGAAATCCCTAAATTAGTATGTATCTGCGGTTGATTTGTGTTTGCGTTATCCAAGAGACGGGGACATTTAAATTAAATTAAGCGCTAAGCGGATTATTTTTTTACGCACAAAGTTCACATTAATATTAAGGGTAATTTTTGTTGTTTTTGCATATAATTATAGTTAAAATGTTCTGAACCTTCTTTTGCGAAGTATCTACAGAGATACAATTTTAGAAACTAGTCAATACATTAAGTAAATCAATGCAACTGAAATTAAATTTTTGCAAGATCCGTATTAAACAACATTTTTTTAAACTTCAGTATGGCCCCAAATCCCAAAGCATTCCAACGTGTTGCTTTGCGAGAGAAAGCCGCAAGTCTTTCCATAAACATTTTAGATTTAGATTACATTTTAGAATAGTCCCTCAAAAACAGTTTTCTACTCCCTACTCCAAAATAGAGCCCCCGCTATCAGCTTCGTTAAATATTGTCGCGCGGTTCCCGTACTTTAATCACAAGTTGGGAGCAATCGCATGTTTTCGATTGATTTAAAGCACTGATGGCTTTTGCCATTCCTCAGTTTATAAACTCGATATCGCGTTATATTACTCTGTTCAAAATTAAGTGAAACAACGCAGTGTAATGTATATCCCCTCTCATTATTTCTACTATATGGGGCGCTAGGCGCAACAGGCGATGCTATAACTCAAAATAAAATAATTTGTTTAATAAATGTGGTGCCACATTATGTTAAAAGGTCTTTAAAAAGGTACAGATGGTTTGAAATATTTTTTTAGAAATTACAATAATTTTAAAAAAATATAAATGTCAAATTCAGTATTAGTGGTCTAGCGTGTTGTGTAGTTAGCAGGATTTTTTTTTGAGAAGTTCCACTCCACATACCCATAATTAATAAGTTTGGATGCGACATTTTTATTGCAGTATTATCTCAAAATATGTGCAGATCAAATTAAATCTTGGAGTAAAATGAGTTAAGTGTGTGGATACCGCTGTTTAGAAAAAAATGGCACCAAATACATTGCAATGCATGGATCCTTCTATTGCGTCTAGGTTTCGCGAACCCGCGATATTACTTTTCTTTTTCCACATACGTAAGCGCGCATGCCTATTTTAGTTCGGAAGAGTTCGCTTCTCGATACACCTCTTTTAATTTTTTTACTTATTTTCGCACCTACGTAAAAGCTTCTAACAAGAGCTTTTTCACTCCTTGTAACGAACTGGGGTCATGGCGCCTCAAGAAGATTGCGAATATGCTATATCCACTGTCCGATTTTCAGAGTTCACATCCCACTAATCCTTTTTCCTACTCGAACGCTTGGCTTACACAACACAGCACCGACGGGAAGCTAGTTTGAAACTAATTCGTATAGGGCGCAATTACACTTAATGATGAATTATTGTTTTTTAGAATTTCTGAATTATCTGTAGTTGAGAAAAACATGGTTCATACACAGTGAGTCACAAAATCTACATACATTCTTAAAACCTTCATTATTCTAAAGCGAGTTTCCACTTTGGTAAATTAATTTTCAACATTATAAATACAATCATTACAGCATTTAAAAACATAATCGATTTTACTAAAAGATGTTTAGTGGAACATTTTTTAAATGTACGGTAAATGTTAGCTCACAAAAGCAAACACACAGCAAGCAATAAATAATGCACTTGTTTTCAAATGTTTCCTGAAAAATGCATAATGACAGTTCAGTTTTATCAAAGACAAAGAACCACTGCTTTTCGTCGTTCATAAAACTTTGTGAACTTAGTGGTAGCAATAAAGATCCTATGGCGCCATAGCTCAAACATCGGATTTTCTTACACAACTGTAAAAAAAAATACTTTAATTTTTAATAGGCCCTGGACTAGTCGACCAACAACGTTCCAAAAACGTTTGAAAAAAAAATCAGGGTAATCCGAAAACTAGTACGTCCAAACTTGCTGTTCAACTTGAAAATATCACAAATAAAATTGGTAGTGCTGAAACATTGAGGCTTAATGGATTTCATGAGAGGATTCTAAGGAGAAAGTCGTTTAATATCTGAAAGAAATAGACAAAAGCAACTTGACTTCGCTGGACAGGATATTGACAAGAATTATGATTTTTGAAAAAAATGTCTTCCTTATGAATTAAATCACGTACAATTCGATATCAATGAAGAAATATGGCGACGATTCCACAAGTGGCTTTAGGACTACAATCGATTTTTCAATAATACCACAATCCAAAGCATACTCCTGCTCTTGTCAAGGAATTGATCTTATATAATGTTCCAACACAACTGTAGAGCTATAACGAAGGTTGCGGAAATACGACTTCACCTATTAAGATTCACAAAAGCCTACTTCAGAGTCAGCTTGCTTGCTTGCTCCCAGCCTGAAAATTTTTTGTTTTGTTGTGTAAATGCCGAGGAGGCTCCAGGCGGCTTTAGATTTAGAAGGAGACGCAACAACACGAATTTAAAAAATTGTTTATTTTTTGTAACCTTGAATTTGTA